TCACAGCAAGTTGAAAAACCGATCCCACTGAGTCTCAAACTGTAGTACACACCTTCTACATTTGGTAAAGAGAAATCTAGAAGATTGGAGGTCCTAGAATATGGACTTTATAGCTGCATTTGGGCATCCCTGGTATTAATTTTCCACAATGCTGCCTATTTCATCCCAGGACACCTTGGATGAGATCTTTTATTTAACTCAAAAACTTCCATTTAATAGTTAAACACAGTCGTTGTGTCTGAAGTTTTCCTTGTGTATGGTATATGAATTCACCTTAACTTCACTTTCATGGGCTAAAGTTGGCAGCTGTGTTCCTTGTTCTGCTCTGTAGCCTTGGTGAGCTCGGAGTAACATCACATAAACCATTTCTCTACTTCCTACAGGTTCTGGTCAGGTTCTCACAGGTCAGCGAGCCAGGCAATAGATAAAACTGGCATTTGGTTAGAAGCGGCTGAACACTGTGATCAGCTATTTGTCTGATCACAAACAGTGTTGTTCTGTCAGACATAAAATACTAACCTCAGTCTCCAAATAAAGTCTATGTGTGGAAAACACTGAAAATACAAAATTCATCATGCATGATTGCCCCTTTTTTCAATCTGAAATAGCTAAAGCCTGTCTAACTTTGATTTAAATCAAATTAGATTCCTGTAGGTGTACCCATTGTCCTGACTGTGATAGAAGCCTTTGGTCTTTTCATCAGTTACTTATTAAACACCACCTACAGAAACAGGACACAGAGGCACTCTTATCTGTGCGAGTGTAAACAGCAGCTACACAGTCACAACCAAACGCTCAAACTGACAAAATTACAGCTCCCTGTACCCTTATCCTCCTATTAGGACACCCCACCAAGGCAGCTTTAGTCTTGTACTGTAATCCTAAAAGCTTTGTTAAAGGCAGACAGGCTAACAAGTGAATGCACTCATCCTATTACAATAAGCTTGTTGAAGGCTAGTGAGACTCATGAGAAGTGATTTCCTCCTAATGCATCCAAATTTTCAAGGCGACCATATATGCTTGCAATAAGCAGAACTATTTTAACTTCTTTAAAGTACGAGTCCAAAGGCAAATGCTTGTTTGATGATGTTAAATCAGTAGGCTACCAACAGGCTGCCAGCTGGATGTATGCCATATCATTCTGTGCTATTTGGCATACACTGGGGTCCTTTGAATTGTGCTTGAGTTTGGCACTCGCTCCCCATTCTTTTTCCCTGTGTTTTTCCAGATGCATATTGACACAGGGGTAAGGCTGGGAGGGCTATGATTAGTCGGCCCAAAATTAAAGTCTCTCTTCCCACATGCCAGCTTACTGACAGGCCAACTCTGCAGGGAAGGATGGAGAAATGGCAAAGTCATTTCTCCTCATCTCTCCTCTCCACTGCTGGGATCCATCACCAAAAAAAGGAAGGGGCTCACGCGTCTGACAGATGAAAGCTTTTAAACTTCAATCACTATTGGGGTGAATGAGGCAGGGAAGGAGAACCAAATGAGCGAGGCAGGCCAGTACGGTGACACCATGCACCCACCGTTCCCACATCACACACACTCCAATTAATTGCTTGTCGACTCAGAGTTTCTGTGAGGAAAGCTGCAATAATAAGTGGCAATAAACACTTTAACACTTGTATTTGCCCCCAAAGCACAGCACCCCATAAATGGGAGAGCTATTGAGCATGGACTTGCTAAAAGAGACAGTTGACGTTGACTTTGGTTTTCTATTATTGCCTCAAATCCACCACCAGCTCAAAACAACATAGAAAGGAAAGCAAGCCAGGTCCCTTAGATCAGAGATGTTTTAGAAGCAAGCAGTTGCTCAAATTTGACTGCTAACCCAAGTAACATTTGGTAACGATCCCAACTCTGACCTAGATAGTTAAAGTATGCAATTTTGCTTTCCATTAAACAGTTCTCCCAAAAAATTTCCCTAATTGATATTTTAAAAAGTATCCACTTTTTTTCCCAGATTACAGGTTAAGATAGGGTTAGGGTTAACGTCTTTGGCTGTGACCTGTGTCCGATCCAGTGGGTTAGGGTTGGCAGATAGCATAGACAAAGGGAAGCTAGTAAAACAACATCAACAGCATCAAAAACAACAGCTATGCATTGATTATCACTAAACTGCTGTATAGTGAGACAGTCATTACTGTTTGCAAAATGTCACTGCAGTTTTGTATGTTTTATGTTTAGTATCAATCAACACTGTTCCACTGTTTCAAACTGCCACAACTGCAGCAAGGAAAAAAAAAAAGAAGATTTATCTAGAAAAAATATGCCTGAGCTAAATTTGGTTGATCTCCATTCAAGATCATCTTCTTGTGCATTTCTGTACTATTTTTCTGAGCTTCTACCATTTGTAGGTCACTTTGTAGAAGTCCCCGTATGCCCCTTTGTTCTTGCACTAGATCTCCACCAGTGTGTCAGGACAGTCTTAGAACTTGGGTTTCATTTTCGGGAAGTAGAAAAATCGCAGGAAGGCAATTCTGACAAACAGGGCAGGTGGTGAGTGATGACTGCGTTGGACAAAAAATCTTTTCAATGGCACTCTGGTATGCGTCACAATAGGTCATTTCTGCTGAGTGTTTTACAGTAGATCTCCACGCTTGACAGCTTCACCCTGGAGCAGGAATTCATGGTGGGACATGACCCCAGTAAAAAATAATTATAGAAGCCACACTTAAAATTTTTGGGGCATGCCAGAGAAGATCATCAAACTAATGTATAAGAAAAACCATAGAACTATCAATTGCAGTTTTAAGGTATTTGACTAAAATGTTGTATACATTCACAGCTACGTTGATACAGAAGATTAATTTTGAGAGTCTGTGACAATGACAAGTTTGCTCTTTATCGGGCGTGCCATTTTGACCTGAAAAACAAATGCCATAGTTATCATCACTGTCCTGCATATTGTTTAAAGCAGCCTGTACAAATCCAGAGACAAAGTATTTTTAGCATGGAGATTGGTGAAGGTAAAACCTCATGGCTGGCCTCTTTAGTAATAGACAGTGTTCCCAACACTGTTTAAACTGAGAAGTTCCAATCAGTGAACACCATCATAAACCAATACAACATAAAACAACATAAACCAATAAAAACAAAAAAAGCATAAATTAATACTACTCCACCCCAAAAAATTATTTGAATTCCTCTGAATGCATGAGGACAATGTTTACTCTAAACCAACCTGTTGGGTTTATTTCCAGAATACCGAACAAAGCTCCACTACAGGAGCCCTAATTAGTTTTTCTTAGTATTATTAAGAGTAAATCAAGATTCCTTATTTATATTTCAGCAAGGACTGCAGTATGTGTTGTTACTGTATCATAGAAAATCCTGAGCTGGGAAACTAGAAGACCTAGCTGAGTTGTGATATCTATTTTATACCTGCATACTGGCTCTTCTATATCCACACTGGTTAAACAAAAATATTATATACTGCATGCTTCAGTAGTACACAATAGATGTCTGTACAAACCTCACCAAATGCCGGGCACTGAAGCACTGCCGGGCCACCCGAAACCCTTGCAGCTGCTAGCATTGGTCCTGTTATTGTGCACTCACTTCACAACCACATGAGGACAAGTGAGAGATATCAAGCATTTGTGTTGTCATTCCAGGGTTGTGTTAGAAAACCTCTGACTTCAGGGTGGAGTTGCCCTAACGCTGACCTGGACTGTTTAATAACTGTCTGAGTACTGCCAGCTGTATAAAGCTAAATGGATAAGAAGATGAAAAAAACAGTTCTGTTAGTGTACACAGTGACAAAGTGACTATTTTTGACTAAATAGGTTGGTTTACCGTTATCCTGCTGTTGCAACCAAGTCTAGAGAGCCAGAGTTTGTTGTCTCAAAATCTCAGGCAGGCAAAGATAAGGGTAATACTCCTCAATTTATCCCCTAACTGCTCCAAGTGTACAGTAAGAGTAACCCTCCAGCTCAGAATTATGCAGCAGTTTTTCTGAGTACTGTTGAAAGTACTCTGATTTTTAAAGATTATTTTCAGAGACGGATACTGCACATGTTGTTGATGTATGTGGATCTGCTGTCTAGCAACAATGAGGTAATAAGAAACAGACTTGCTTTTAAGCTCCATGCCAGAAAGAAAGGAATTGGGTTGCATAATAGGGGGTAATTACAAAATGAAAACCGATAAAATGGTGAAATATCTGAAAAAAGTACTGCTTGTGCTTGTAAAGTACAATGAGCTTTAATTACATTATTTGTTAAGAGCACCTTCCATTGGTTCACCTTTAATAGGTGAACCAATGAAAGGTATTCTTCTGTCAATTGTATGATAACACCACCAAGTTTCACTGGTGGCAGCAATGAAGTCAGCCCAAAAGCTGAGTCTAGTTATATCAGTTTAACTACTGTTACACATCATTATGAGGTCAAACTCTTGAAGACCAGAATCACCAAAACAGATTGCTTTCTCATTTATAAAGGGATTCATTTCTGTAGTCAGAGCTACATTAAATTGCCAGATGACTGAACGGAGTCCGGCATAAAGTCCATATACTACATAGACACTTAACACGCGACCACAACCCTAATGACACTGCGAGGAGCCAACTGTCTCTCCGCAGTCTCTTCCCCGTGCCCTCTTTCAGCATACCTTTTAGAAACATTATTCATTTGTGGCCTTTTTCTGCGCTTGCGTATGTGCTGAACGGCGCACGTGCGCCAATCTGATGCATGCACACAGATTTCTACAATACACACTCTGAACTACAACAGAAGAATAATAAAAGCTGGCAAGGAAGCCAAAACAAACGTTATCGACCGGTAATCTTTGTTAGTGAGTACACTAGCAGCCCCGGAAAAGTCATGCTGTTCTTGGCTTTCAGTTTGAACGTCGTGGAGATCCCACTGTACAAGAGATACATCGTAAGAAAGTCGCTTTTAACAACCTTCCATTTTAATAGGTTTATTGCTGCTAGAAAACCAAGCTGCATTCATTTTTTCACGGGAAAAAAAAGGACAGCGTAAGCCACTCACCCCTGCTGGAAGTGAAAAGAATGGGCTCGCTCCTCATCTTAAAGTCAAGCTCATCTATAATCCCCCGTCCCGAGCAGGCGCGTGCCCAGCGGCTTCCTGGCAGCGGTAAAAATCCACACAGGCACGCAGTTGTCTTCTATGCCTCCTCTTTCTACCTCCGACTGTCCTTTTCCTAGCTAACCGGCGGCCACTGAAACGTCTTTTTTTCCCTTTCAAAGTTTTTCCCCGGATCTTTCTCCTACTCCCTCCCTGTGCCTTCTCTCCTCCCCTCTCCTTAACCTCCCCTCTCTACGCGCCCCCTTCTCTCGCTCTCTTTCGCTCGCTCGCTCCCAATCTTCCTGCACTGATAGCTCTGCTGGATTTATGAGATTTCCCCTTTGCTTTTCTTTATAATCTCCATTCTGGCCTATTCTGTTTTATTCGAAATTATGTGACTTCAGAATGAAGGCAGATTGATATAATTTAGATGCCAGTACTGTCTTTAATATGCTGCAATTTATTAATTTAATACGCTTCTTTTCTTTCCGTTTTTTAATCGAGTCAAAGACACGTGTCATTGAAAGCATATGTGTGTGTTTTACATATGCTTTGATCGCACTTTCATTGAGCTTATTTCATCTGCTCTGAATATATACAAACTATTACTAGGATTGTGTGAAAATGTATCTCAACAGCTGCTGACTCTTGTGGCCCAGAAGTTGCAGATGGTAAGCAACACTCCACATTGTTTTACTTGTGGAGTGAGGGTGACTTTTTAATGTGAGAATTCCAGAAATCCCAGTGTAACTGGGCCGGGGGTGTTGATTACACAGCATTTTGTTTCCTGGTGCAGTCACTCCACAGCACAGAAATGTTTTGTTTGGTGCGCATGTCAACACCTTTAGAGCCACACTGTGTACAAAAAATGATTTGAAATCTCTTTCATGTTGGTTCTTTGCAGTAGTAAATCATGTATGTGCAAATTCTTTCATTTTTGAGGGAAAAAAACCCACAAACTTGCTTGAGAATTGGATGCCTTCGCTAATTACAGTACACTGCATTACCATAAGCTGCTGATCCCTACGTCCTAGTCCCCAGGGGCAAACAAGAGCCAGTCTGAGTTCAATATCCCATCTGCCATCAGGGGAGGAGGAAGGGGGGAAGGAAAGACTTGCTCTACCCTGCCCTTTTTCAGCGTGGAACTTGAGACTGTGAGGAAGGGAACAGTGTGCAGTGTGGAGAGAAAGAATAATGTGCCGGATCACCTTTTGGTCTCACGAGTTCAAGAAGAACCACAGACTGGCAGAGGCTGTTGACGTGCATTTCCCTAAAGAATAAGACACATAATGTGACATCTCAGCTCCACATGGGCTCTAGACAAAATGCAATTTTTGATACTTTGGCATTGGCTTGATTTGTTTAGGGTCACAACAGCATTTTGTATCACAAACAAGTATAACAAGCGCTATTATTATAAACACCATTATTTAAAAATCGAGAGCAGGGTGATAATATCTTTTGGATTCCCAGCTGATGATCCCTTACACAGTGCACATAGTGATTTGATCCACTGTTGATATAAAAGTTACCAGAAGATTTTCTCTTTGTTTGAGTTATGACTAAAACGTTCTTTTCAGAAATATGAGTTGCTTTTTTAAAAAAAAAACTTCTCCACTCGCACACAGTTTTGCTGCCAATTTTCCTCAGGCAATAGAGCCTCAAGTTCAACACAACAGACAGCAAAAGGCCACACACACACAAAAACAGTGTTATCAGAGACAATTGCTTTGGACACACCGGTCAAAATGAACAGCAGGCTAACGTGAACATAAAACCCTTTGGATTTTACCTCCATTGCAACTAACTTCGCTAGTGCCAAACTCTTTTGAGCTTAAAACACAGGAGGTATGTTGGTGCACTGTAAGGCAGTATGCAGACTAGATGACCCTAAAGTCAGTTAACTGCAGTGGACAAATCTAGTGGGAGGATTTCGGGTTGAGTTATGAGACTCTTATGAGGGTGAGATATGAGATGGAGAGGCAGCCTGTGGTGAGTAGCAATAAGTGATGAAAGGATTGACGGGTTACAGTGAAAAAGCACCAGACTGTATATTCTTCACTCAAGTCTAGAGTCTCAAACACACTTTTCTTTTGTGTAATGTGTATGCGCAAGTGTGATCCCACTGAAACTGCATACCAGATGAAAGTTAACTTGGCTCTGTTTCTTTAAAAGTCAATAGTGACATCAGTCTTCTTCCCACTTACTTTTATTAAATCTAATAGAGATTGAGATACTGTAATAACTTGGACACTTCCCTATCCAAGTCAGTCATCAACCCGTCAAGTTATTCAGACACCCTAGTGAGAGAAAACACACATGCACAAACACGTAAATGTTAAAGCTGATGATGAAACGTTGATGTTTTGACCAGTTAGACTATCAGACATCCACTTTCTCTGCTTAATGATCAGAGGATTTTGCAGGTTAAGAGGTCAATCAGATAAGCCTAGAAACCATCTGGTACCGAACATGAGGGAAAATTGTGTATTCCCTGACTGGTTGCAACTGGTTGCTGGCAGTCGTTGTAAAAATTGATTTCTAAAGCCCCATTCATGCAGGCCTAGCAACCACTCTTTGAGTGGTAGGGGAATAAATGGTATAGGAACTGATTCTTATATAGGGCTTTTCTACTCTACCTGAGCACTCAAAGTGCTTTATACAGCATGCCTGATTCACTCATTCATACAAGCACATTTATCTGTTCCTAAGTGCTTTCTATCTAACATTCACAAAAGCTGCTCTCCAGTGCATCCATTACCAAAGACTGCAGGTCCGAGTAGCCAGAGATCAAACCACCAGCCAATAAGCAGATGACCTGCTCTACTCCCTGAGCCACAGCCAGCAAGTGGTTGCAGATGGTTGCGTGGTCTCACTAGCATGAAAATAGGCACAATGACGTATACAGTACTGCACTGAAAACCTCCTTTTGATTACTTTGTCACTAGCAGGTCCAGCGCTTGACAGTCAAACCATTACAAATGACTCGCCAAATTATAGTGAAACTGCAAAATGTGCAATGCATATGAGAAACTGAGAATGTTTACCTTCAGAGTAAAAGTTGTACCTTTTGAAATGTGTTTCACAACTTTTCTTTGTTTGCATCAACATCATTGAAATATAACTATAGTTCGAGAGTGAATAGCAAGTGTCTACAGACAAGACGGCATCTTCCATGCAAACTACAAGTGACTGTAGCAACCTCCTAGCAGAAAAGCAATCACGAAGAGTTTTTATGTGCAGGACCCACAATTTCACCTGGCGAGTAGCCACAGCCAGTAACCAATCACAAACACATATGATCTAAGTATGCAGTACCTTTTTTGGGTTAAAGTTTTATTACTGTCGGCAGCTAATGCCATAGAGGTTTATCAAAATCTATAACTAGTGACAGTACTCCACAGCACAAGTCCATTTGCATTACTATTAGAAATGTATATCCCGAATGCTTTTCACCTCACTCCACCCATTCATGGCATCAGACAGAAGTCATTAACTTTGAATATTTCATATACCATATTTTATCCATAAATGTTTTCATTACATCATAAACTCCTGGAAAAAAAAGGGAGAAAATATATATACTGTAAGCAACAGCAACAAGCCACCTCTATTTGTACAATAATGAAAATATTCCACCTACTGCACATGTTCAGAAACTAAATCAAATAGCCCAAGTGACAAATCCAGAGTCGCAAGATAGACATCTGACTTGGAATACATACCAGTTCCCCAACCCATCCCCCATTCTAGTTATTGAATTAAGACACATGGTTTGGCTTTGGGACAAGGCTCGCCTTGTCTTTGCAATGTGGAAAGCCACTGGTGGAGTGTGGTGCTGTCAGGGTCTTATGACAAACCAGAGGATGGATGATCATGCCAGACTCAGTCAAACACTTATACTGGGACTAAATGAATGACTTGGTGTGATTGTATATGCCATTGTGAAGCTTTTTGATAAGGAAAAGTGCAGACTGACTAGCAAGGTAATTGCAACAAAAATAAGATCTTGTGAGCTCTGTACATCAGCTAGAGACCCCTGTGGATCCTTACTAAAAACAGCCAGGGATTCCCCCACTTTAACTGCCTTCCTGAACTCATCAGACATCTGCTCATAATTATCAGGCGTTATATATGGATTATATTTAACAAGCCAAAATGTTATTTTGGACAATGTCAAGAAATTCTTTGCTTTACTGAATTTGAAGAAGGCAAAGGAAATGAACTCTTGGTAACTCTTTGGTGGTAAAAAAATCACCAACAATTTGATGCCAGCTGGTTTTGTAAAACGTAAACCAATGAGGAAGGGGACTGCAGATTATCTGCAATTGATTGCTATAAGTGCCCCATTTCAATTTTTGTATATAATTTCATCCACTGTTCTTCCACAGTGCGTCTTCACTGCAAATAAAAATGAACAATGTCTTGGCTGCCATAGATATTCTGAATACTCCAGATCATTACAGTTCAAATCATGAATGTACACTAAAAACAGGAATTACCAGAGAAACTTTCTCAAAGTTGACTCAATAGCAGGATGATCATTTATGTATCAGTGTTGCTTCAGCAGTATCAGAGGGCTAAGAGTTAAGGAAAGTGGTCTAACTCTCTCTGAGCAAGGTCATCCATGTGTGTGTGTATACGTGTGTGTGTGTGTCTGTGGTTTGGCTGTTTTGAGTCTGGGTGTTTCCCCCTTTACTTGATAAAAGGTAAGTATTCAAGATATGCTTGTCAAAACAGCAGCCAACCTGAGCACCTCTCAGTGTGCACTAAGACATGCCCAGCCATAGCCCCTCCTCTCACACACACGCACACACGCACACACACACACACACACACACACACACACACACACACACACACACACACACACACACACACACACCTCTTTTGACCAAAATAGAATGGAAAGACTTGTCAGGGTAGGCTGTTATGCATTTTATTGTTCATGAAAATGTGTGTGTTCCTTCCTAGCAAACATGCCGTGGGGGCACTGTGGGTGCACCCACACTCTAACTTTGTTTTGAACATGTTCAAACTTTATAGAAACTTCAACAGCAACAGTGATTTCTACACACTAACCTCGTGTATAAACTTGGGTGACTCAGACTGCACTGCTTTCTGGACTTTTCTTACTACTTTGATATTTAAGAAAATTCAGCTATGTGAGTCATCTGAGTTTTTCCTTTTATTGCAGAATCTTTAAGCAA